TTGTGAGTAATTACGTTTATGAACAAGAAAAAGCAATTAATGGTTGTCTTTATAAAGAAATTTTAAATTGTTTGTAGACATGTCTCCTAATTAGCTTCTTCTGGGGTTTCTTATTACAGAACTACAGGGAATTCTTTAACTTGAGATCAAGTAAATGTTGTAATTGTTTAGTTTTATTATTATTTAAATTCCGAAAGTTAAAAGCCAAGGACGTAAATAGAAATTGAGACAGTCCATGCTACATTACTAATTTGTTTTTCAAAAAAATGTTTGTAAACGAAGCTATAGTATTTCATAAGATGCCAAGTTAGCTATCGCGTTCGGACCAAGGAATAATATATTAATAAGTGTAGTTCACTTCACTTGCTGAGTACCTTTAGCATTTTTTCATAGATGAAAATTTTAAAGGCTTTTTACTTTGATGGTGTGATGTTTTAGCGGAAACCTGAAAAAACATCCGGCCAGTTTGCTTGAACAACAATCGGCTAGTTAGTGCATTTTAAAAAAAAGGAATCAAAAATAATCCATTCATAAATTTATGCTTTGGAAAAACATCTTTCGTCCTTTTTCTTAAAACCTATATTGGCTTAAGTGCGAAACTACCTGTATGTGAGTCATAATAATAAATATTCCGCTAAAGACATCACACTATCAAAATGCCTTTTAAAAAATATATTAATTAAATATAAAAATATTTTGACAATGTCTTCTCTTCATGTTAGATCCCATGTATACAATTTGTGATTAATGTATGTTAGATGTCACGGCATGACAGACTGAATAATGGCTGCTCCATGTTGTCGTTCACTTCATTTAGGTTTTGAAAACATTTAAAGGTATCTATTATATCCATAAAGGTATCTGTTCTATATTGAAGATTCCAAATGTATTAGCTACAGAGGTTATATTCTATCTATAAAGTTTCGTTGTTCCATATTCGAAAATTAAAGTCATATGTTTTATCTACAAAGGTATCTGTTCTATCTGTGAAAGTATCTTTTCATCACTGGCCTTATTTCTGAAGATTTAATCAGTGTTATCGAAACATTGATCATTGTACATATAGATATGACTGTGGGAGATTAAGTTAGTCCTGGATCGTACTGCACACTCGTGAAGTCAAGTATTACCATTAAATAACTATACTTCGTTTCAATCCATTTTTAACAAAATGTAAACAAACAAGTCATTGACCCGACCGTAGACGGTAAGTGATGGCCAATTGTAATGCCAACTACAAATCGATTAATTAATTGAATGAATCGATTTGTTCAATTGAGTCATACTAGCGGTTTTCCCTACATAACCTTTATAAGCATATTTAAAATTTCCGAAATACTAATTTTAAGTCCTCCTTCAAATCATTTAAACTTAGATACTTGTTCGATTGTGATTGAAATATTCGATTTGTTAATCGATTACAAAAACTTTAATGAAATAAACAGCACTATGCAACCACAGACAAGTGCATAAATGTATAGATGAAAAATAATCTCACTTTTGAACTACCATTTTTCAAATACAATTTTACGATGCTATTTAAATAAATATTGTTGGAAAATTTTATTGACTCGAATTTATTAAGCGATTGCTTTAGAATTTTAACCAAACAGTTTTGTTTACTTTTTGTTGAAAATGGATTGGAACGGATTTTAGTCTTTAATTCGCAGTTTAAATTAACGTCTGTTTTGGAGCACTTGCCTTTGAGTGATGCACGATTTAGGGTGCTATCACACACGTACATTACAGCACAAAATAGCAGTTAGCGTGCAGTTGTACTCCAACTAATGCAGTCGAAATTTACCTCGTGACTAGTGTTTAGAATGTTCACAAAAGTTTGTGGAGACACGGATGTAGCTTGCGGGTCTTGTTGCCTGATTTAAAGACATTTATTATAGTGTGATAGATACCTTTCAATGTTCAGAGTCTGCTCTTGGCAGTGATAGGGAGTGGTTATATTTTGTTCACATTTAACTGCTAGAGCAAGACACGGGTCATGCAGTTTGGATGCAGTTGACACAACTGCACACTGGCTGCATGCCATCTGCAGTAACAGCTCATGTGACAGCGCACTTAAAAATACATTTAAATATCAATCAGATTCCATCAAACGATATGCAAATATCTGTTTTAACTTATTGGAATATATTATTGCATATTTATTCTTCAAAGTATAAACTCTGGACTTATCCCATTGTATATTACAAAAAAAGCAATTAACATATTACAAACATACACGTAATCTCAACTCACGTCACTTAGGTACGTACATGACACTTGAAAATTTTCATAATAAAAGTAATCTCATAGTCACTGTTAACTTGTCGCATAATAACGTGTAACCACTCCCTAATACGCTATTGCGAAATAACAATATCCATTAGACGTATCGGTGTTGAATCTAGTTCTTTAAAGAACAAGGGGTTTTTGGTCTAGTTTTTAATAAGCTTTGTAAAAAAAATTTTGTTAATATAAATTAAAATGTTGAAGAGTGCGTGTTATGTGATTTATTGCGGACAAAAGGGTATAAATTATTCACTCAAAAACTTCGATAACTTGCATATAGAAAATGTTATTTGTATATTCTCTCACTGGCTGTGGTATCTGAAGTTCTTATCCTAAGTATAATACAATTACATATGATCATACTTTAAAAACGCCTTATTACACCAAGGCTGCGAATGTATGTTGTAATTTAGACGCACGATTTTATTCAACTTTCAAAAAATCTAATCTAATCTCACTAATCGTAAGATTTTTTAAAATGTGATTGGACACGAGCGACAAGTCTAGATGTGAAGTCCTAAATCGAAAATATCTAATGCCAGTTATGACAGTCAAGCGAGAGATGATAATGTAAGAAAATAATTTGTTAACCTATTTTATAAAAATTACCAAGAGTCATTCATTACAATAATACGAACATCAAATTACCTTTTAGGAGTATTTTACGGGTTAACAAATTGTTTTTTTTTTTGTTACGTAGTTGATTCAAATGTTGTTATTATGATTCTAAATGATTTTGTAAAGTTGACATCAGAACAAAAATTTTAATAAATGTATTGTGAATTTTTGTGCCCAACTATAAATAAGGACCAAAGTACCCCATGTTCTGTTTTTTATAAAAAAAATATTACGCCAACTGTCTTGTTCAAATGTTGTGAACTAAATGTTAAATGTTGTCCTCCTTTAAAAAAATAGGGTATCGTACAGATATTCAGTAGTTGAAGCTAGATGCAGACTTAATTTTTCTTACTAATATTTTGTTACTGTTTTGGCACTGTATTAATTACCTTCTGAAAAAAAATATATTATGAAATAAAGTGTTTTGTGAAGTTTTATTAAATACCCACGTCGTGGTAAGGTTCTAAAGCTGATATTTGCGAAAGGTTGTTGACTCATGAAATTGTTATATTTGCTTATTAATATTTTATCAATGAGACTTTTTAAGTATTACCTATTTTGAGATTGTAACCTTTTGCGTGAAGGCTCAATTCACATTGCTGCGGAATGTAATGGAAGCGAGTGTTGTAGCCATAGCATAATGAACCCGCTTATGTTAATTGAGTAACGTGCAAATTAGATACGATGCGGTAGTTGTGGGAATTCCCCAGACTGCGAGAATTCTCAGGAAGACGCGCGGTCTGTTTTTAGATCGCATCTAATTTGTACATAGAAAAAAAGTCCAAAAAGACGCTTGCGTTGGCTGGGTCACGGCTTAGAAATCTGCCTTCCGCGCAAAGGCGTTCACAAGTCTTCCGCTTTGCGTTGCGGAGATTTGCGCGCATGCGCGGCACCTTTGTTTTGGTTTTATTGGACGAGTGGACGCTGCTGCTCTGTGATTGGCCATTGTGCCGTCCTCAACAAACGTTCCCTGTTGCTTGCGTGGAAATATCAAACATGCTAGATATCACGCAATGCAAAGCGAACGGCCGGCGCAAGCGAGCGACTCGTGAACAGTCCTACCTGCGCGCAAAAGACAGATCTTTGCGTATGCGCGAAACGAGTCACGCAAGCAAGCGAAAAACGCAATTGAAAGAGTCGTGCACCCGGCACAATAGATTTTCATACATATTTTGCAGGCCTTGGCCGGGAAGTAATCGCATGGTCCATAAATGACAAACTTTCCGTGTTCGTTTTTTGGAAGCCATGCATACATTTCCGAGCATGTTTGAGAAAAAACAAATTTTGTTTTTTCTAAAATAAAATGGCTATTTTATAGTCTGGATAGGCATTAAATACCCGACTACATTGTCTTGTATCGCGATTAGCGGCCCTCTTTAGATATTGGTGTATGGTAAGGGATAATCCTTGAAGTGGGGATTGGAAGAATCGAGGATTCAACACGGCATAAAAAAGAACACAAATTTGAAACAAATTGATAATTTATTAAAACTACATATACGTACACTATTTACATTATAACAATGAAAATCAAACTGCCTAATCTCAACACTAGAGGCGCTGCGTACGCTTCACCTTGGTCCCCATATACGACACGATTTGTCTACATGATCCATCGTTTCAGGCTGATCGGAAGTACGAATGAATAGTGTGTTTATGTCGTTAACGAATAATGTCAGGGGAATAGCGACGGATCGATACGATAATCGTGATGATCGATCGAAACGAGGAATCGGCTTTCAAATATCGTGTATGCAAAAAATTACGTAATTTACAAATATGGCGGTAAATAGTATGTATTAGATTATAAGCGCCGGCAATGCAATCGGCGCGCCCCGTTCAGTTTATTTCAGTGCGATCGGTCGTTCCGATCATACGCACGCGCATGCTTCCATATTGCGTATGCGTAGTGAAAATGACGACGCCAGAAATTGACATTTCTAAGATAAAACTTAGTGACTTTCTATTCGAAAATGTATCGTTTAAAACATTAATTTGTCTATATCTGACGTCACCATTTTCACTACGCATACACAACACGGAAGCGCGCGCGTGCGTAAGATCGGAGCGCCTGATGGAACTGACAAAAATTTGAGAAAATACGTTATTTTATTTTTTTCCTTTCAAAAAGTATTTGTAACAAACACCGTTATACAAATTCGTTTTATGGTCGCGCTCGCGCCGCCGGTTGGTCTATTTATCGGCGCTCATATCTAGTATGTATACATTATGTTACAAGAGCGGTAAGTAGGCAATTACGAACTGAAAGACCTTTAATGGCCCACAAAAACATTTGTAACTAGCATACAATGTTTTATTAATGTCCTAGTCGCAAAAAATAGATCTAGTCACTGTGTAGTGTAAAGATATCGATTTCCGTCAAATTATGACTTTTTACCTGATTAGTCAAATTGCAAAAAATCGACTAAGGGACGCGATGCCTTTACAGTCGTCGCCGCTGACTGGAGATGTCACTGAAATAATTGTAATTAAATTTTATAAGCCAGGATGTTTCACCATCATGATGTTTTGTGAAATTACTCCACTAGTTTGTTATAATTATTAAACAAAACTCGGAAATAAAATGGCGGGTTTTTGAAGTTACGAGTACAGTTTTTAAGATTAATTTTTTATTGTCAAAGATTATGTTTTATTTTAAGTATATTATGAAGAAAAAACGAAGAAAGAAATAGTGATGAAGAAAGTTAGAACTATATTCCTTATTTTAAACCAAATTACAAAAGACTTTACAATGAAAATTCCACTAATTACGTATTCAAAGTTATTGGTCAAAGTGATAGAAGATAATGTGATTTAAGTGAAAATAAAACGTAAATATAATGACTCCCGCCGCTTAAAAGATACTTAATGAACCCAAATAAGTAAATAAGTTGTTTAAGAGAAAGTGAAAACATTATTACAAATATTACTGAGGATCCCGATTATTAAACGAAGACAGACAAAAAATCATTTTGATCCGGCTCCGGATTCGAATCAACGTTTCCAAGCAAAGGTAGTGAAGAAAAACTTACATAGATTTCTCACAGAAAAGAACGGCAAAAAATCGTTAAAAACCAAAATAAGACCTGCAACAAGGACACGGAAAAATTCATCAGGTCCGTTGGTTCGTCACGTGCCTTAGTTGGCATAGCGTCTGGCACGGTTTGCTAGGAGACGTTGCTTCGAATCCGCCGGATTTTTTTCTAAGTGTTCGATCTTTAATAATTATAACTGACTAGACTTTTGGAAAAACACTGCATTAATTTGGAGATTTTACCTTTATGAAACGTACCAGCGCCACACGTCCGGACGTATGCGTTTTCTTTCCTTATTTTAAACTTCTTCAAACTTCATAATAACTTTACCAAGCTTTCCTTTGGGCACATCTATAGTTTGTAAGGTCTCTGTTATAATTCCCGTGGCAACAGTAACATTGTTCTCTCTGATCGTGAATGGCTGTCCTTGCGTCATCACCATGCCTTCTAGAAGCGTTAAGTACACTTCACCGTGATCGCCTGGCATCATCATGTGTATAGATGGGTCTAAAAAGATAAACATTTGAGTAGATATTATCTGACTGTTCTTTGGAAAATTTAAAAATGAAGGTATTTACTCTGTGAAAGACCTCGTCAAGGGAAGTTCTCGCACCTTACCTATTTCTGCCGCCAAGCAGTAATGTTGCGATCCGGTTTCGAAGGGTAAGGGTGCTGGTGAAATTACAGGCACATGGGACTTATCAACTTATGTCTCAGTTTGTCGGGCGCAGTGGCAGTGCCCCTCTGTTCTTTGTGATTTAAAGCTCTGAGTGGCACTGCAACTGTTAGGGACAGGCGTGTCGCTTACCACCAGGCACACGACAAAAAGACGTAACTGAATGATAACTATCGTCTCAGTCAGCCGTGACCATGTGACTTTTAAAGTATCCGTAACGTCGGTTTGTTTGAAAATACAAATAAACGACATTTAGATCCGAAAAATACTTTCATTTCGTTTTGTAACGAAATTGTACGTATCATAATGATGAATCAATTGTGTAACGTACAAATTGGACACTGCGCGAGAATTCTCCGGAAGATGCGCAACCTGTTTCTCGTTTTGCCTCGCATGTACCTTACACAATTGACATAATGTTCATTATACTATGGCAACACATCGCTTCCGTTCCATTACGCGACATTGTAAATTGTATTTGCGCTGCGGCCTGGACTGGGGAGAAAAAGAAGTTGAAAAATGTCTCACCTAAATCAACCCTGCAAGCAATATTCCAAGTGCCACTAAACATCTGTTGCGTATACTTTGAAAACACAGGTTTCTTTCTACCACCTTCGTTTCTCGTCAAGAAATATATTTTGGCTTTATAATGGTTGCTCAGCTGGTACTGTTTCGATGCACACAGCAGCATTCCAGTTTCTACCGATTTCAATTTCAAACCTCGGAGTAGGACGCCGACATTGTCGCCGGCTAGAGCCTAGAAATGGAAAGACTCAATATGAGAAAATATTTGAATGAAATATTTTATTCCATACACACACACCTTATACAGTTATAGCATAGTACAATATAGTAAAATATCATAAAAAAGACTATGGTAACTGCATACAAACGTAGCAGCGCGGCTTGTACGTGTACTCACGTACACAGTAGATACTTAGAAAGTATGTTAACTAGTAGAATGTCAAGTGTTCACGGGCATATTTTTTTATTAGTATTATTATAAATATTTATGTATATATTTTTCATCACATTTGCTCGTAAACAGTGTCATGACATGCAGGCAACGTCGACCGTAATGTCCTAAATTACGTCAAGATAAAGCAAAAACTTTTTATGCTCGAAAAATCTGAACGTAAACGCATAAACATGAAGTATAAAATAAAACTAAACATTTGTAACTCAAACTTTCGTTAGTAATTTCTTAATGCACAATGTACTATATTGTTACAAATAATTGCTTAATTCTGAATTTAATTTACATTAGCTGAATAATTCGTTGGAGTCAGTGTCGTGTTAATGGGTGGTGTCGAAATAATATCTTCTAATAATAGTATTTTAAATCAATAAATTAGATTTTGAATATAACACGTACAGTTGCAAGTACTAATAAACAAAACCAAGTACCTGTAACTCAAAATTAGGGAATTAAGAAAACACAATTTGAAAATGAAAAAAAAATACTGAGTGGATTTTATTGTGTGCATGATTATTTTTATTTACACATACAAACATTTTTTTAAAGCGCCCGCTCATAGCCCCGCACTAGGGAAACCCTGTGTCGCGGGTGCCATAGACAAATACATAGACACACAACCACAAATGCTCACATTACTGCTTGGCGGTAAAAGTAGGTAAGGTGGTAGTACTCTCTAGACGAACTCTTTCACGAGGATTTCTCTGCTACAAAATTACACCCAAACTCACGAGAAAAATAAATGTAGGCCATACAAATATCTCTCCGCAGTAACCGTTCGGCCACGGTATGCTAAAAGACGACGGTTCGAACCCGGCCGGATCGAAGGAATTTTTTCTGAGTGTTCGATCTTTGTATTAATAATTATAACAAACTAGTGGAGTAATTTCACATAAAAATAATTGAATATCAATTCAATAAAAACTTTCCGCAATTTGGGTTACGACAGTATTAGGTTTTCGTGTGCGACATGTAGATAATAATAATATACTGCTAAATGTTTTCCTTCTTTGACCTATAGTTGTAGTTGATCAAACTCGGATTCGTCCGTCAGTCGTCCACAGGATTCTTGTTAAAATTTTAGGTTTCCCATATCGGCGTTGATCATGAAAAGGCAAAAATCTAGCCTTCTTCCTGGACCTCCTTCCTCCAGAGTGTAGTGGTACAGGCCAGCGTGCGAACAATGAACCACACTTTCCATTGTATTGTGCCAAGTTGCCTGGTTACAGTCGTTGAAGTGATAGTAGAAGTAGTAGGGTTTCTTCTAACATAACAGCCTCTAATATTTCCTCTTCCTCCTCTGGAAAATAAACTGGAGGCCTGCCGCCATCTCTGCCACCATCTATGTGCCTTCAGCTGTTGTAATCTTATAACCGTGAAAATGTATATATTTACCTCAGTAACACTTTTCTTAAAAATCTGTATATCTGACAGTGTTGTCTTAATATTATATCCAAAGCCCATCAAGTCGGCTTCATTGTTTCTTCTCATAATTCCATGTTTAATTGTTCCTACAACCACGGTGCCCCTTCCTGGTACAGTGAATGCATTGTCTATGGGCATTAAGAACGGAGATTCTAGATCTCTCACTATGGCAGGGACATAATTGTCTATGGTGTCCAATAGTTTCCGAATTGAAGGTGCACCTGAAAAAGTTTGACCAGTTCACAGTAAATTGTTTTACGTAGAGCTCCTGGTAAAAGAGTTCGTCCAGGCAAGTACCGCCATACCTATTTCTGCCGCCAAGCAGTAATGTGAGCATTACTGCGTTTCCGTTTGGAGGGGTAAGGGTGCTGATGAATTTAATTGAATGAATTACAGGCACATGGGACTTGTCAACTTATGTCTCAGGATGACGAGCGCAGTGGCAGTGCCTCTCAGATCTTTGAAATTTAAATCTGTGAGTGGCACTGCAACTGTTAGGGACAGGCATGTCGCTCACCATCAGGCGCACGAGTTTTTCGTCACTTAGTGTAAGATAGTATAAAAAAAAAACAATTGCACCCTGAGTGAATTGAAAAGGTTTGCCTTAAATATAATATGTTATGTTTCCTAAACTATTTTATTTATGTGCCTTCTCTAACGAATTAGGTGTTGCCATGCACAAATATATAAATTAATAAAAAATAAAATTAGACAAAGTTTATGAAATTAATGGAAAGTTTTGCATATAGATTTTTAAATTTACATATAAAGGAAGTGGAAGAAGGAGTGAAGAGGAAGTGTTCAATATGGTATAAGAAACTAAATTGAAAATTGGAATTGAAAATTTAACATATAAATTGTAAATGGAACATAATAACAATTTCAAACTGAAATTGATCATTTCAGAACAAAGTTGAAAATTGTTATGCAACTTGACCTTGGTGGCTTAGTGGCTAACACTGTAGGTGCTGGATGATGAGGTTAAATTCCCTCTGTGTTAATTTCATTGCTGCGAGAGCTGGTATGGCGTAAGTCTGGCAGATTATAAATACATTATAGAAGGTAAAGAAACTAACCAAGTTCCGACTCATCTCCATTCAACGCTTTCAATGCCGAGCCGCATATCATGGGCACAGTTGTACCATCGTAGCCAAAGTCGGTCAACAGCTCTCGCATTTCTATCTCTACCAACTCTAGTAACTGAAACAAAATTTTATATTCATTTCTCATACTCGTAAGTAAATAGGAATTTAGTTTTAACGCTATTAGCGCCATAGAGCATACGATTTTTCTGAAGTATATACTGGGAAGTATATTAATAGCAGTAGAGCTCCTTGTGAAAGGGTTCATCTAGGGAAGTACTGCCAAGTTACCTATTTCTGCTGCCAAGCAGTAACATTAGCATTAATGTGTTCCTGTTTAGAAGGGTAAGGGCTCTGGTGAAATTACAGGCACATGGGACTTGTCAACTTATGTCTCAGGGTGTCGGGCACAGTGGCAGTGCCTCTCAGATTTTTGCGATTTAAAGCTCTGAGTGGCACTACAAATGTTATGGACAAGCGTGAGCTTACCATCAAGTGCACGACTTGTTTGTACCATCACTTGATGTTATAAAAAAATATATAATAGTACTTTACTAACAACATTGCAGGACTACATTGCCAACATCATAGACAACAACTTTTGTTCCATGAATTTTCACAAAACATACTAGATTTATCAATAATCAACTTTTAAGTTTTTCTTGTACTATCTGACACTTAATGTAGGTATGTACCTGTCTTACATTATTCAAGGCAAGCTTCAAACACATTATCACCATATCTAGCAGGTATTTGTACCATTTCCTCGCGAACACGCCCGACTCAGGCGCTTCACAGGGAACGACCAGATAGCACAGGTAAATAGAATAGGTCAACCACCCTCCCCTCATTCCCATTGTTTACTTATGATATATGCTATGCTAGCGTTTCCTTTTGCTAATACCGTAGACATCAAGGACAATGGCTAACACAGAGTTATCATAGTTATAAGCTATCAATTTAAATATTTTTATTTTTGTATGAAAATAAAATCTGATGAACTATTAAAAGTCACGGAAAAAAAGTAGTTGTTTATGATGTTAATAATATGGTCTTGCAATGTTCTTAGTATTTTAAAAATAACCATGTATAAATATAATAATGCACACACTCACAGCCCCGCACTAGGGCAACCTTTTATCAAAGAGTTGGTATATGCAAATGGATTATGAAGTGAACAAAACACACCTCGTCATCAACCAAATCAGCCTTGTTAATGAATACCAATATGTAACGTATGCCAACTTGCTTCGCGAGAAGCAAATGCTCTCTCGTCTGAGGCATGGGACCATCGTTAGCAGCTACTACTAAAATCGCTGCGTCCATTTGCGATGCACCTGAAATGTATGGTAATAAAATTTAAATTGACATTCTTAACGGTGTCCTTTACTTTTACATTTTTTTCTCACTATCTGTTAAATATTTCACCTTGTTACTAACTGTTATCTGTTAAAAATTAACAAGCAATTAGTAGAAACTATGGCTTAAACAGCTACTTTGAGATGGAAAGACAAATGTCAATGCTACTCACCTCTTTTGTCTTACACAATTGAGCAGTAGATGCCAAATATGAGATACCTACATTCACAATCCCTGCAGAAAGCATGTTAGATATGGTACAGCTGAACTCGTGAGTGGATGTGTCGTACCTGATATCATATTACGGATGTAGTCTGCATGACCAGGGCAGTCTGTATGTGCGTAGTGTCGGACTTGTGTACTATACCCTATGTGTGCTGCATTTATTGTTATTCCTGCAAGAAGCAAATATAAATTGAAGAGTGAGTGTGAGTTCAAGAACAACCGGCCCACCAACATCCCTTTCAAAGTCAGAGTATACAACCCTCAGTATGCTTTGACAGCCAAGTTCATATCGATGCACAAAATAACAAATGTTTGCATACACATAAAATAACTTAACACTCCATATTAATAAATTTAAAATATTTCAAAAGAAAATGTATTTCATTAAATTCTTTCCCCCTGCAAAATTTCCTACGTTTCTCTGGCCCCTATAGTTTGCCCCCTCTGTTCAAGACAATCGCATCCACTACCTGTCATAAGCTAGGAGAATGCCTGTACTATCAGGTAATGAAATTTACAAACAGTAGTAATAAACATAAGTAAAGAAACTAGGCAAACCTCTAGCTTTTTCTTCAGGGGCCTTATCGATTTCGTCGTAAGAAACAAATTGCGCTAATCCGTCTGACGCTAAAACCTTCGTTATAGCTGCAGTCAGTGTCGTCTTCCCATGATCTACGTGCCCTATAGTTCCTATATTACAATGTTTCTTCTCAATAACTTTAGTTTGTTTTTTGGTGCTGAAATTAACACTCAAAACACTCGGAAATACCCGATTTTTTGACAAGACATCGCAGCTTAGAGGCAGTTGACGGGTAAACTTGCAGTAAATTGAATTAAGTAATACTTTGCAACTCATATTTTTCACGAAAATTAATAAAATTCACGGTTTTTCATTAAATGTTTTGGAATTTAGGTTATAAAATTGACAATCTCGGTTTTGTTTACGTTTAGAAATGTGAGCAGGTTTTTTTTATAATGTTTATGGCCTGGGTTATAAGAACTTTATGCCAATGCAATGTGACCGTGAGTGTGACAGCTTAGAGGATGAAAAAATAAAATAGTCTAAGGGCTGTATTCCAGAACTCTACTCAATGCTCAAGTCAGGACTTGAGTATGATTTTATGCAATGGAAATACGACCCTTAACGCAAGGACTTGAGTATAATTTCTAGTGCTTTAAATCATACTCAAATCCTGACTCGAGCATTAAGTATAGTTCTGGAATACGACCCTAAGCAGCACAGCTTATAGGATGGAAAAAAGCACAGCTTGGTTCAGAAATGAAAGTATCGACCTAACAAGGTTGGACCGAGTTGGACGTCATTCCAAAAAGCAAAGGTGTTTTTATTAGTTATTATTAATAGTTTGTATTAAATTTTATTCTTCTTCTTGTTTACAGTGCCCTTTTTGAATTTTGCCAGTATCGAGGTTTCTGCTTAGTAATTTTGGAGGCTTCTGCCTTCTGCTATTCAACGAGTATTACATAAATTCTCACTTATGTAATACTCGTTGCATAGCAGAAGGCAGAAGCCTCCAAAATTACTAAGCAGACAAGATTTGACGTTGCAAAACTGTATCTGTATGTATTGAAAGTGTGTATAACAATATACACAAATAACAATGATAAAAGAGGAGTTAACCTAATTTAAAGTTGATATCAAATTTTTGGGCTTGAGAATGAACGGGGCAAGATTGTTATCATTGTCACAGAGACAAAATACTTGCGGCAATTCAAAATTTATTAAACGATTATATTATTGGGAGACAAGTGTGATGGTAATTTAAAAGCAAGGCTTAAACTATAAAGCCAGAGTTACAAAATTAAATAAAGTTTATTTTCCTCCGCAAAATTACCCGTTAACCGCCAGCAAACGTGATAACTGTGACCACATTCTGACCAACCGGAAGTACTAGTGAGAATCATTCGTCGTCAATATAATCAAACTATAAATAATTTAATATACAAAAGAGAAAAAATGGCGGGCTTTTGAAGATACAAGTAGTTTTTACAAAGATTAATTTTATTTTAAGTATATTATGAAGAAAATACGAAGAAAGAAATAGTGATGAAGAAAGTTAGAACTACATTCCTGTTTTTAAACTAAGTTATGAAACAGTTTATCCTGAAAATTCCAATAATTAAGAATTTAAAGTTTTTGTTCAAAGTGACAATAATGTGATATAACTGAATGTGAAAACATAAATATTAACTCCCGCCGCTTAAAAGACTATTTAGAAAGCCCAAACAAGAACACGCAAAATAGGCGCTTTGTCGTCGAGTTGCGGATATCAGCCCGTTGCACCAAGTTGCACCACCAAGCCCAAACAAGAGAACTAAGTTATTTAAGAGAAAGTGAAAACAATGTTGTAGAATCAAATGGAAATTATTTACAAATGAGGATACCGATAATTAAACGAAGACATGGCTCAAAGAACTTGTATCCAAGCCAAAACTCTTAATAAAAAAATATACAAAAGATAACAAAGAAAATCTCCCTTTTTTTAAATATCAATTAATGTTGGGTTTATGATATATTAGTACTCTTAATAATAGGTGTTCAAATTCAAATTAGATTCAAATTAAAACCAGTAGAATGTTCCAATTAACAATGTATTTATTTCTTTATAATTCCATACTTTCACATAATACAAGCATAAATTTCACAAAAGAATAAAGCGCTTCTATATCTTCGCCAAGTCATCAAACTGTACAATATAATTGGTGTTGTAGACTACTTTTAAAGCGAAAACTTGAAGCATTTTTTTAAAAATATTAAATTAAATAGTTGAAATAATGAAAACTCAATATTGATATTTTAAATTAACAGTGTTAGTAAGTTTACAGTAGTTGAAGAGGATTATTTAGCGTAGTAGAATAGTTGTGACAAATGAATGTCGCAAGATTATGATCCTGGTAGACATTTGTCGAATTATAGATTCTCCCAATAGAGATGATTCAAAAGCGTGGAGAATGATTGTATCCTTGAGAATTTTTCAGCACACAAATAGTAACGTTGTGTATGAAATTTTAAACAAGTGCTTTATTTTCCCATCTTTACACAGTAAGACCTAAGCTTTACTGTAAAGTTAATAACACTGTCAGATAATGGCCCAATGAAAATATTTAAAAGACATTACAATCTTAAACTTTCATACATTGTATTGCTTTAAGCACAAAAACGAAAACTATCTAATACGACTTGTTTGATGTATTGGGTATTCCGTATATGACAATTATTAATTATTGTCTTACTATAAGATGATGGACAAAATGGATTAAAATGCTACTAGCGCCATCTATGGACCATAATATGAAATACAGGAAAAATGTCAATCTCGCAATCAGCACAAAGGATAAATAGATAAACTAATCAAATGCCGACCTGAAATAAATTGTGACAAAAACTTCACAAACAATATACAAGCGGTCTTTCAAGCACCTTTAGCTATGATATTTACTTTCATGATTACAAAATTCACTTACAAACGAAGACACTCAACATTAGTTTTTACCTTTATTTAAATACACTTTAAAATAATTTTCAGATTAGTTTTATCTACTTAATTTCGGTAGCAATTTTTATTATTTAAGTATTCGAGTATATCATAGTGAAATATTATATAATATTTCAGGGCACCACATAATAAATTCTTCATGACAATGTTCTAGAACATTTAAATTAAAATAATTGCCACCGAAATGAGATAGAGAGAACAAACCTGAAAATTACTTATTACACTGTTGCATGATTGCGTTAATCCGTAAATGAAATTTTGTAATTATAACTATTGAACATTGAATCACTGCATTGATTACATTACATATACTGTAAATCTTAGGCAAGATGACATGTATACTTTTAATTGTCATTCTCGATTTCGGGTAATGCAATTGCATTTCAAAACGGTTTACGGTTGAATGTCTGAGTCCAACAACAAATTTTTTTACCTCGCTTTCACTTTTTATTCAAATTACATTCAATAGAAATTTATTGTAAGCAAAATAAGACACAAGAGCCCTTTGCAAATATTTCAGTATGTCTAGCTGCGTGACGTACATCAATGGTTGATATAAATAAAGTAAAATATGAGTAAATCAACGATTTTTAACCAACTTCAAAAAAGGAGGAGGTTCTGAATTCGACTGTATTTTTTTTTCTTTTTCTTTGTATACATACAAAGAAAAAGTACGTTACGCCATAACTCCAGTATTTGTGAACCGATTTTGATGATTCTTTTTTTGTATTAAAGAGGGTACCTCAGTTGTGGTCACATTTAACTTTGAAGAAAATATTCCACTTCTAAAGGTAGCAAACTAGGGGATGAATGATTTTTGTACTCTATACTGAAATTATAAGTAAATAATATTCGGTATGATCAGTTTTTTAGAAAATATTCAAGATAAGGAAATACTATTTCAAGTTTTGTCACTGTTGTCAATACTGTCAAGAATTTGTATATCACACTACTGTTACAATAGTGTTGTAACGTGTGTAAACTGATGCAGTACATCGAACCACTGGATATTGTAATATTTCGACTCATCCGTAGAACAAAGGTCTATATGCAAGACTACTTGTTCTCAGGACATAGTCCATTTCGTTCGTTCTTCTTCGCTGTGGATGTCAGATCGACCTTTGTTCGATTTTAAATTTCCGAAACGAAATAAAATATATAAATTCTCCAAACACCTTTACATAGGCCTTAGTTTGAATAACGAAATTGTTCTCGTAACTTACTTATTCTCTTTTCGTTATATAATCACATCGGACTCTGTTCTTCGGATGAGTCGATTTGTTATTCTGATTGAATCTCAATGTGTCAGTGGAATGGCACTGATGTCATTCGTTCATTCAGTCACTAACGATCGATATTGCCTTAGTAAAACTACCGTGGAAATGACTATGTATATCTTAATTCAACTCGCCATTGGAGAGCAGGATACCGAAAAAATGCAATGGCAGTTGAATAGTAGCTCGATGGATAGCCACTAATCTTAACTTTTAGCAGAATGCCAAACGTACAAAATCCTGCCATTAACACTGCAAACAGAAAACTGAGATGAGACGAAACCAAGATTTTTCTCATTTTTTTCTTCCGGGAATGTACATATGTTAGTCTGAAATATTTGCAATAATTCACAATTAAAGCGACACTGATGATTTTTGTAAGTTTAAAACGCACTTAGCAAAATTTTATAGTATTTTACATGTCTATTATTAAGAAATTCGTATACAATAGGAATCAGTTTTTATTCTGTACCTCTACCATGATTTTACAGTAGCAGTTATCGTTCATGTAAAATACTCGAAAATTTGTATGTCAAATTGTACAGCGCAGCGCGCCTAGCGGCCACAAGAAAAAATACAGTTAATGCCCTAAAACACCTGACTCTCTAATCGTCCATTTGATTCTGAGTAGATAAATGTGAAGAAAAATGTTAAACAAAGCATAACCTTTAAATCAATTTTGGTATGTCTTTCTCATTGCATTATTAGTGAATGAGGTTTTAAGAAACTTTTTAAATCATAGGAAACGGTCCCATGGTCACGGTTGACTGTGAAGGGCCCGAAACGTTGGTTTGTTTGAAAAAACAAATATACGCGATTTAAATCCGGAAAAATAGTTTCATTTCCTATGTGTAACTATCGCGAAAACCTAAGAACTTTTAAAATCAATTTGATCTTTACAATTTGGTCTTGGAGCCTCCGGGGTTGTGCCGTACGGATGGCAAAAGGTCTGACGGCCTTACATGTCAGAAGGGTTGGTGCCTTTTGTGGGACCCTTTGTGTGTTAAGTACGTTTTCTCCTTCCCCCCTGAGTTACACCATCAGATCGGCTGCAGAGTACGCGGCAATATTGAAACATGCCAAGAACAGTGCCTTTGGGCGGGGGGCCAAAGAATTTATCAGGGAGTTAAGTGTCGTCGGCTTTGAGACAGAGGCCGTGATCCACGCTCGGGATTTTACTTGGGGCAACAAATTTCGTTGGACATTCATCGTGGTAATGCTGCCAGCGTTATGGGGCCGTTTGAACTCTCTAAGATTCACAGCGGTCTTTTTTCATTGTTATAGTTGGACGAAAAATGGCAGTCTGGTGAATTGCACTATTGAGTTTTATGTGACGAAGTCTGTTGCTGATTTATATTTGTATTTACCTGACGAAACCTACGTTGCGGATTTGTAATTAATTTCGTTTTTGAATTTGATCTTTAATTACTTTACATAAATACAAATTTCAGCCATAAAACTGGCATTCCTTTACACTTTTCTGTTGAATGGGTAAGAAGGCTCTCAGGTCTCAGAATCAATAGGTCGGCTAGGAGATCAGGTATCTTAGGCCATCAAGATTATTTACATAATTGTAAATAATTATTTTCCATGATCGCTAGCAACACCTGCCACTGTAAATTCATGGTAGGCACCCTAAACCTTATTATACAAAAGTTCACTTATTTTAAATTGTCGATAATAAAGGGTGTATTATAATTAGTGGTCGGATATTCGGATGCTTTTACACCTAAAGTTCACATTTTCCCGTGACTTGCTGTCGAAATATGGAAGCGGTTTCTTAAAATATATTTTTTCTTCTTTTAAATACCATATACCGGATTGGCGTGACATGTTACGATTTTTATAAATTAAAACGGATTTTGGCTTACTATAAATCTTAATGGCCTGATGATGACCAGGAAAATGATAATTGGATCTCAGTACTCTACCGTGTCAAAACCAATACACCGTAATATTATCAAAAACAGCATTTTGAGAAAAAGTTGCTAAAAGGACTTTTCAGTTTTTTTTGGTATTTTTAAAGTTAATAACATAAAAATAGCATTTAACTTACTTTGTACAATAGATATTAAAGAATTATATTTAGCCATCATAATTTTACATTACAAAATAAGCTATTTCTACTGAAAAAAGAATTAATTTCTTTGAAGGATTCTTGTAACAAAATTACAAAACACTACTAGAACTTGCTGTGTTTTGGTTTGACACAATGTAGTACTGGGAAGTATCAAATTAAAATTTAAACGATGTTTTTGGTAAAAAATTATTACAACTACAATACATTTTTCACTTTCTATACATGATAAAAGTTATTAAACGTATACGTAAAATAGAAAAAAATAAAGTTTATTCTAATTAAGTTTTGTACTCAATAATTTCGCCATTACCGGTATCGCAGGATTTTTTGGATATAAAGCGCATTCCATGTTAACGAGCACCGAATTGTAAGTCAATAAGCATCCGATTATCCGTCCATTAATTATAACATAAGAACAATATGAATTTGAACAATATGAATCTGATAGTATTGAAAAAATTCTGGATGTATCTCCCAGACACATAATTCGAACCACCTTTCATTTTCAGTAATAATGATTCATCACAAACTATTCATACAATTTGGAAGATTGTTTAGAGCCGGCGCAAATCGACAGACGGGAAGGCAGAGGACATTATTTTGGCTATTTCAAATGAAATAAGGTATAAATTGCAATGCTCTAAAAGGGACTATTCCTACAAACGACTGCAAATTATATTTTTTATATTGAATAACCAAAAAGGTTAAGGTAAATAATAATGCTTAAAAGTATTATATTAAAAAATATTTATAAATCATATAAAAAGGATGGTGCAGTCGTGCACAGCGACATCGAAGCATTGCGGGCCTTTTCTCAATTGTAATGGCGTAAAATATATAGTGATAAATGTAATGTCTTCTGCCTTGCCACCCACCGGTTTCGGATATCCATATTAAACTTCATTTCCGTATGTCCTTGTTGAAAATTTGAATTTGTAAAAGTAGTGAAAATTTAAATAATAATATTAAAAGGAATATAAACATAAAAAACTTTCTGTGTATCAAATTGTAAGTTATGCATATTGTTTTTAAAACGATGGATATTATAATGGCCAGCATTAAACTGTGGACCGTCCTAGGTGGACCGCCAATATATGTTTTGTGTTTTTCTATTTTATACGTAAGAGGTGAACTACGTGAAGAATTAATTGCCCGTGGTCCATCGAGGCGAACCAGACAAGTGGTCCACGGGCAAGAAGCGACATTTTTCTATTCTAGCCTTGTAAAAATAAAATAATACAAGGTGGCTCGAATAATGTGTAAGGAAATGTTTAACATTCCAATTCTTGTTGTTACAATAAGACGATAAAAATTTCACAATCACTGTCAAGGTAATGTTGTTCTAGCCTGCCAAATTGTCTGTATGTTTGACAAAAATCAACCTTATGTAAATGAACATTTGGTACACATTGACATTCCAACTGGTCCAAAGGTCGTTTTGGCATGGCATCTTCGTTACACTGGCGGTTGTATGTTTGTGTTAATCTAGCTAGTAAACGCAGTGCGCGCGCCTGTTTCATTTGTTTTTGTTGAATTAGAACAATCGTGTGCTTTTATTCTATCTCTACAATACACAGCTCACTGCGCCTTTGTAAATTACAGCACATAGAAGGACATTATTTTGACACTAATTATGCCGACCGTTGAACCCTTCAGAACATTTTTACCCTTCTGAATAACCATTACAGGTAAGTTTTAGGGCGTTATGCATCAACCCAAACCATCTGTTACCGTGAAAAACTTGAATTGCCAAGAATTTACCCTCCCTTGTTTAAATCTATAGAGAAATCAACATCAGCATTGATATTTACAAGTTAACAGAGACCACCGAAGGCAAGATTTCATAGTATAGTTTTTTAAAGGCTTAATTTTTTTTAAAGATTATCGTTTATTTAACTAATTATCGCCCTGTTTCTATGGTTCAGAGCCTTTAATTATACAGGTTGTTGAAATAAGTAAGTCTGAAATTACGAAGGGTGACTCTTTCATCCCAGATTCAGTATTTTCCCATACAAAACACTGAAAGCTGATCGGAGAATTTGCATGGAAAGTTTTGTCAGTGACTCCATTTACATAATATTCATCCACCGATCCCATAACCGAACTTAAATTTAAAAAAGAAAGAACGAAACAGGTGAGATTGCGACCAAGAGTGCGTCAATTTCCCATTATTTTTTAAATAATTTTTGATATACGCGCGCAAGTTACGGTAAAGACCTTTACAGACAATGACAGTGACGCGATATGAGTTAAGTTTAATCGTCATTCTATATTTATAGTGGTATGATGGTCAAAGGGTTAGAATCACCGCATTAAATTTCATTACATACTTTTTTAACAGCCTGTATGTTTTTATTGTGACAAATGAACACTCAATAGTAGATAGTCTACAATTCCTAATTCTTGATTTAATTATTTTTTTTGTAAGGCGCGCTTTACTAAAATGCTAAAAAAGATTTCAACATATTGCCATTCTAAGAGCGTAGTCACGTAAGTTGCATAGCAAACTATAATTGGATTACGCCCTTAACACGCTTTGTTATATCATAAAATTGTACAAATCGACGATTGGCTTTAATATGAGTGAGGTGTATAATATGGTGTAGTCAGTGCCTAATAGATCACTGACAAGATCTTTTGACCTTTTCAACTTCCACGTTAGTTATTTTTAACCTTAAAAAAGGAGGAAGTTCTCAATTCGCTGCATATTTTTGTTTATGTCATGCGATCACTCCGATATCTGTGAACGGATTTCGAGGATTATTTTTTTGTTGGAAAGGGGGTACATCATCAGTGGTCCCATTCAAATTTGAAGAAAATCTTCCACCTGAAGGGCTGGTAAATTAGGAGATGAGTCTGGTTTATGATTCCAATAAAACTTTGCAAATAGAAGCAAACTTTTGAGGTTGGTTGTTTTATAATAAAGTTGTAAATGTATTCGTAAGGAGCCGCGGCGCCGAGGAATCGATGGCGTGACGAACTGAACGATAAGTCTTGGGTCCAGTTAGCTCAGGATCGGGATGCGTGGAGGGATCAGGGGGAGGCTTTTGCCCAGCAGTGGGGTACATCAGGTTAATTGTAATTACAATGTGTTGATTTGCATTCTCGCCTTATTTACAGCGGTCATTCTATATCCGAAACTGAACCCAAATCACCAAAAAAATGTTCTATTTCTATTTTTTATTTAATTGCGGCAAACAAATTCGATCCAAAGGTCATTGACTTGCATGGCACTTGCAAACATTTTGAACAATGACCTTAAATGCGCAGAAAGAAACGCATTTTAGATCTATTTGGTGGTGGGGTGCGGGTAGCGACAGCGGGTATCGAGCGCGCGATTGGTAGATCAATCGACCTTACTTCTCCTACTGCGTTTACGTCACGCTGACATCCCACATACATTCTATTCTAGTCTGTCACGAAATGCCACATGGAGCTAGGTACTTATAGCAATACTTTCATGTAACCTAAAGTTGGTAAGTACCAAATCTAAGTTACTAAAAACTGTTTCAGTCAACTTTTCTAATTAATGTAAATCAATAGTAAATTATAACAATACTAGCACATAATCATAATTTAAAAAATAGGTAAATAAGCGATCGCTGAAGCGGGTGGCGGGGTCACTGCCCTTGGCGTAGTGCACGACTTCGAGAAAATTTTGCAAAACTTTACTAGATACAATTAGCCAGAATATTGAACAGAATAATTTCTTTAATATTTTTAGATGATTTAGCATTATTTCTATTATTAATTTCTTAAATATGGCGAGAATGCAAATCAACACACTGTATATTACCACGTCACTTAAGGTTCAATTAACATTACGGCGATATGGAATGAAAGCGTCAATTTCGCCTCGCTGCGCGAGAAGGTGCGCGGTAAGGCTGTAGTATTTCGTCGACGTTTGACGCCACACTGGGCCTGCCTTCGCTCCTCTTCCTGCAGATTGGCCAGGCGTCGCCGACGGCAGCTGCGGAATTTCGCGAATGCGTGAGCATTCTAGACCATGCGCTAGAATTTCGCGCAAGACGCGTCGTCACGCGATTTTTTGGCTCGTGTCTAGTTTGTACGTTACACAATTGACCACAAAGTTCATTACGCTATGTACAATTTCGTTACAAAAGTTCGCTTCCATTCCGTTCCGCCGCAACATAAATTGAGCCTAAGCCAGTCAATCTATACAATTTTGTCGAGTTCCTCTAGACTTTGAATTTTATTGCTTTTGCTTACCGTTCTTGAATAAATTTTAGTAATACACGCAACGGTATTTTTGCTTTACAATGGTCACCAGCATTCTCCATTAACAAGTCTCTCTGTACATGCACTGGAAGGAGCAGTATTTCCTGAACTGAGCTCCGTAAAGATACTTTCATTGCTTCAGTATTCTGTAGTGTAACGTGAACTCAACGTTTGACTTCCATATGAAGTGTCTCACTGTTCGTAAGTCCATATTGGGGTCTAATACCTGAAAAGTGTTTTATAATGTCATTTTTATAGTCAACTATGTTAGAATAATAAATAAAATGTCGTCAAGGAAACCAGCGCTATTGGGTACGGGTCTCGTTCAATAATGCTACCGTGTCAAACCAAAAACTGTAATATTAAAAACAGCATTTTGAGAAAAATGGGTTTTTTGCAATTTTTGAGGTTAATCCGTCGCACATATGCACAGTCTTTCTAATGATACACGGTGATACGGTGTTTCTAATAATTTTGTTACCACATCACAAGGTGTCGTAAAATAATTTCATATGCAAATTTATAAAATAAAATACAAATTCATAATATTCATAAAAAAAATTTTAAAAAAATCGTTCAGGATACCGTGTGTGTGTGTGCCTAGGATGCGTGACTAGTTAGTGCTATAAAAATATACATTTAACTTACTTACATTATCGATATCAAAGAATTCTATCCAGCCATTATAATTTTACTTTGCAAAATTCGCTATTTCTACTGAATAACGAATAAAAAAACTAATTTATTTTCCATTGATAAAAGTGGAAATATTCTTATTCTAATGAAATTAGAAAACACTATACTGAACTTGGCAGTGTTTTGGTTTGAAACGATAGAATGTTTAGGCCATAATTCATCCCGTTAGCTCAATGCGGGTCGGGGACAACATATCGCACACTTGATAACAAATTGGCGGAATTCGAATATATATATTGTTGGAAACTTGGTAAGAAAATAAATTTAAAAAAAAGTAATGTACGTGGTACCAGATATTTGTGCCATTTATTACAAAATCCTATTTAATTTAATTTGCTACCTACCTTTTTTTGAACTCTAAAAGAAATAACTTATATATCATATTTCCTATCTTTTAAATAAATAAGAGAAACATTGCTCTTTTGCGAACTTGCGATGGCCGCGTTCAATTAGGACTACGCCTTGTCATACCTGATCACAGCATAGCAGCTCAATCCTCTCTTCAGGCGCGTCGTTGCCACTGTCCTGCTCGGATCGACCTCCAGCACTGGTGCCGTTGACATCACCACCACCTACAATCTTCTCGACTACATGTTCAGCTACTTTGCGACATTGGATGAAGTCGTTGGCTACTAGGCGATCCTGGAAGTGATTGTCAAGTCTCACGCTATATAATTCGATCAGGATTCGAGTTGTGGGGATCTACCAGCATCTCTAATGTGGAAATTCTTCAGTGTTGCCAAAATAATGTTCACCTTGTTTTGTAAGAGCCCAGGATGTACATGTCTATTTTCAAATGCCAAGATCTTTGGTTGACGATAAACGCCTGGTTGGCTTGAGCCGTGGAAAAAATCAAGAATATACAACACACTCAGCCGAGTTATGACTAAGGAAGAAATATATCATAGGACTCTTTATGGAAAATTACAGTTAACTATAGTTCAAGGACTGAACGCAGGTGGTTACAAAATAACAATAATAATAAAACAAAAATGTCGCTTTTATTGACTATTACAGCGGTTACACATCAACTGTTAGTAGCGATGGAAACGCGATGCAGTCGCTAATCGTCTACTTTTACACACGCGCGCGAGTTTAAGCTGCAAACTTTTTTAAATTTGTTTAACTTTTTAAACACGTCTTATATTGATTAACAAATTTTTTTATTTAATGTATTTATTAATTTCACTTTCACATGTCCAATTAACAAAACAAAATAGTGTGCATAAAGGTTTATGATACAGATTTTTTGTACATAATTATTCAACATAAGCGACTGTATCGATGCAATCGCGCATTTGTGTCGATGCAGTAGAGAATTTGTATCGACGCAATAGCTTATAAATCACATGTGTAGCGATGCAATCGCGCGTTTCACGAAACCGCGTTTGCATCACTGCTAATATTCGCCATATGTAACCAACCACTCTTAACATCAATATTCGTGTACTATAGAGGTTCCCAAACTTTATGTCTCGTAGTCCACTTGCCTATTTCTTTTTTGTTGTGTGTAGCCTTTTAATAAGGATTTTTTAACAAGTACATCAACTTCAGAGAGTTTTTGATAGGTCTCCAATAAGTTTAACTGTATCCTAAGAAAATGTATAAAAAACATTTTATACATTTATCTAACTGACTATCTTGATTGTTTTCATAGGTAATTTATGTCTATTATAAGAAAATATTATGTATCTATAGTCAACAGCACATCAATGTGCAATTGATCTGCTGTCAACTGTACAAACATTAGTACTATCTGTGTAATGTGGTATATTCCATTTATGCGAAGGCAAGATTTTGGTCACAACCTGCTGAAATGGGTCCCACTCTTGTGGATCCCCATTAACATATAATGCACCCCCATTTATTTTCACTGATATGGCCCACGGCGTTCGATACGGACCGATTTGGGAATCATCAATGAAGTCAGTAGAATAAAAAAAGTTTTATTATACCAGACAATCATTTTAAGCTTCGGAGCTATTGGACTGTCACAGAAGTCTTTGTTAATGTATTTGATTCGCATGTACTAATTTTGAAATTCTGCTCAACCTTGAAATATGATAAAACCTATGATATATCTATGATTATTAAGCATAGAAGGGTGATAATAATTCGTCCCCTTCAATGCTTATCAATTATGTTATCAGTATTTTGATGTTGGTTAAGGTTAAATCTTTATCAGGTTCATCACATAACATTATAAATGTATGGAATCTTAAAAGAAAGGACATTTGAATTTGGCTTGAGGTAACATTTTCACTAATGGTTATGTCTACCCCGGGCACACCTCCAGCAGGTCATCTGCCGAGACATCCCAGAAGTATGCGCAAACGGATCCAGGGGCGACTTTCTATGACGGCAGAGTTAACTGTTGGGTTTTAGTGAGTATACAGGGCTACCGCCCGGGAGTTCCACGTAACCACTCGCTGCTCAAGCCGATTGAAAAAAAAGGGGTTTTTTCTGTACCCCACATTAATATGTAGGGTAGTAATCTACTCTTGTAAATTAAAGTAAGCTTCACCTTCTTCTGCCGATCCTGTTTGCTCTGGCAGCTGGAATGTGGCAGAAGATAGAATGGAAGTTTGTTCAACTTTGGTGCAGCCATTTCTATCGCTACATCCACCACCCAAGACGGTACTGTTTCCATTAGAAGATTTCCTTCTGTCTCGCCACCTGAATCACCAACCTGTAAACCAAAAGTGGTCACATATATTTCTTTCCTAACACTTCATGGAATAGTTGAGCGATTTTGTATAGTAATTAATAATAATTAAATCAACTAAGTTCAGTATTACATGCATATTAATAACAATAATAACAATAATAATAACAATAACGCTCACAATCAACATAGCCCCGCACTAGGGAAACCCTGTGTCGCGGGTGCCATGGACACACACATAGACAACCACAAATTACACCCAAACTCACGAGAGAAATAAATGTAGGCCATACAAATATTTCTCCCGGCCCGGGAATCGAACCTGGGACCTCTGCGTGGCAGTCCGGCATGGTAACCGTTCGGCCACGGAGGCAGTTAAATATTATTGATTTTGGTACTACACTTGTGACAGCTTTTTCAATGACCTAAACATGATGAACTCGGTGGCCCAATGGTTCACATTGTGGGCACTAAATGCGGAGGTCCCGGGTTCAACATCCGGTACAACCAATTTGAGAAATTAATTTTTCCAAATTGGTTCTGGTCTGGGTGTTCTGGGAAGTGCCCCTGAATTCCGTTGCTGTATGGTACTCATATTCCCTAGTTTGAGACCTAGCAAAACTATGAATTTTAAATATATTTTAGTGTCTTTTATTGCATGCAGGTGCAGGCGAAATATTTCTATGGCACAATGAGAAGCTGCACCTCGATATCAGCCTGCCTCAGTGGTAGCACCAACGGCCAGTACCAGACTATGGGACTCCCCAATATTACAGCATTGGGTGCAGCTCCACATCAGGCATAATTTTCGTTTATATTTTATTGTCAAACCTACCAACACCACAGTTAAGAGAATTGGTTCCTAACACTATGGACAAGATTCTGAAATAAATACTTTATTATTATTATTTAAATATTCAGTAACATTTAAAAAACTTTCGGAAGCTGGCTTTTAGTGTATAAATATTAGACAAACCTGCAGTCTATATAGAGTTCTGCCACCAACTTCACTGAAAATCAAAGGAGTATGCAGTGGCACACTAAAGAAATTGTTTCCTATTACTTTCTGCCCAGATTCGTTTACTCTATTTGGATGATTCCAATGTTCCAACAAAGCCTGTAATAGTAATGCTCCAAAGTTTACTTTCTGGTCATTTTCTGTAGTTAATCCAGCTTCCTTAGCGCTCACCCAAGCACTCAAACAATCAGTTTCGTCCTGTCCTAAATGAATAGTCAACATTCCCGTTTTCAGATCAACATTGAACCAATTAGGAACATATATCATTTTAAATCTTTTCTTCACCTCTTCTTCGTAGTCAACTTCACCCAAATCTTCAACTTTACATGCTTTTAATACGTCATATAGTGCCACATTGTTTGCCGTGTCTTTTGTTAATATGTGTCGTTTGTCATTTAATACTGTGTAGTGTTTTATGGCTGGACCGCCTGGAATGTGGTATATTGGTTGAGTCTGGTACACATTATTTGTATTATAGTTATTCTGATTGTACATATCGCAGTTTAATGAGTTTAATGGTGGTAGCTTCCAACAACGGACATCTGATTCTGACGTAGATACCCAAATGCCTTGCTGGTCAGCTGTAAAGCATAATTTAAGAACCGGTGCAGCTTCTTCGCAGACAATCATGAAGTTATCTGGGTTTCTCAATTCGGTTATAATGACTAGTCTGTCTCTGCCACCAGATATAATGTGTGTGAAGTTTTCTGTTGCTAATAAAGCCCACACAGCTTCGGAATGGACTCTTATTGTGGACACACATCTTTGTTGCGATAATGACCATAGTTTTATTGTTCCATCGGAGCTGCCTGACACACACTGAGTGCCATCTCGACTTACTACTAATGCTTTGACATTATCCGAATGTCCTTTTAATTTCATTAACCTAGAACAATTTCTCGGGTCCCAAACTCGGAGAACTTTTTCTGTGGAACCACTCACAAGAATTGTACCCGCAGGATTCATAGCCAGACTGTAAATTGATTCTTTATTACCAACAAGACTAGAAGTAGTTACAGTGTTGTTACTAGCCGTCAAAGCAGTCAATGTATTGACGTCCCATAGGAATATGGCCCTGTCAAGACCAGCGCTCGCGACTTGCTCCTTGTCCTTAGCGTAGGCGAGTGTTCGGACGTAGTCCTTGTGGGTGCGCAGCGTGGACATACAAAATCCTTTCGGAGCATTCCACACTTTGACAGTAGTATCTGAAGAGGCGCTAATAAGATTTTTCCCACCACAACAAAGGACAATATCGTTCACCCAGTCAGTGTGGTGCTCCATACTCTGGATGTATCTATCCTGAACCCCGGTACCAGTGTGCCATACCCGAATAATCCCATCTCGGCCGGCAGAGTAAAGCCTCCCTTGAATAGGATCAAGTTGTAATGAACTAACGCCATTTTTGTGCCGCCTTTCCTCTTCGTCACGGATCACGAACGACACTTGTGTTTTTTTACGCATGTTGGAGCCCATTTTCCGACATTTTAAATTGTAATAAAATTTTTATTTCGCAAAAATTGCTCAGTTTGTTTCGGAATTACTTGACGTTTCTTCGTTCGTAACTGTATTTGACACATGACAAATGGTTGAAATACTGTTATGTGATTGGTCAATATATGAATGGAACACTTTTAACCAATCAGAATGCAAATACTGTAAATACGGAAAACAACCTCAGTTTCTAGAGTTGCGTTCCACAAAAGAAAAATTAAAAACTAAAGCGCTCCATTTAATGGAAATTTTGTAAATATTTCTAAAATAAAACTTTTTAATTAAATTAATATTTGTATATTTAGAACACAATTAAACGCTGTAAGTATCCTTTAAACAGAAATAATAATTATACTACGACACAAACTCCACTTGTTTGGGCTCCCTTGCTTCTTGATTTATCTTTACAGATTTCGAGTAAATCTCAACAATATACTTTAGTCCGTAACCTCTTGCACTTCGTAGACGTATTTTCACGTAACCATGTCCAATTCCTCCTTCTTCAATCGTTGCTGTACTCAAATGATCTGGGGTTATATCTACACAAGAAATTCCTGTTATTTGAGTATCCCAGGGGTAAGCAAAGTACAATGTTTGTTCACGCGTAAAAAATGCTAATCCCTGTTTTTTCACTTCCTTATACGACATGCGAGCTCCAAAATCATCACCTTTGTAAAGATCGTAACTTAAAACTCCACAATTTAGAAGTGTTAAAACGTAAAATATATAATAAAACTGCATTTTTTTAGTTTACTTTTGTTATAACACGGTTTCTTATGATAAGGTCTTGTTTACTAATGATTATGCTGGAATATAAAGAATGAGAGTAAATGAAGCAATGAATTTAAGGCTAAGTAGAGCGTTTTAAAAAATTTAGGTACACTATTAAAAATGTTAAATATATTTAAATATTAAATAGTTAAATATATTTATGTAAGTTACTTTATCTAGATTTTTACATTACTTTAGTAATTTTTTTTCTTATGACTATACTAAAGCTTAAATAGGTTAATTGCCATTGCTTATCAAGCAACCGCGATATTTTCGACTGTGTGTACGAGCTCCTTCTATTAATAGAGTTTGGTCTCAGATCACTTCAGGTTTGGCGATCATCCCTTGTTTAAAAGCGTTATTTGAATGATGAGTATGAATCGATAAAGCAAACTGCATTATGTTCAAATCTATAAAATTTTGGGGATGCATGAAAGAAACTTTCTTTCCCTTTTTCTTCATGTCTTGTGCCTTCAGGGTACTGTTGGGTAATTTTCCGAAATAAGAATTCAAATAGTGGAGATATTTCCGGAAAATTTTCTGAAAACATCTTCGTTTAGAAATACCTTTTGAAGTGTTATTTAGCGTGAGTTATAAAGTAAAATTGTATAGCTAAACGAAAGTTAGAGAAAAACGAAATTTAGAATGGTTGAACAACAGCGAAAAAAAGAATCTTAAGTAAAAAAAATATATAATGGCTCCCATTGTTTTCGTTTAGAATCTTCAACTTTTGACAAGCCTCAACTGTCAAATGTGGAAAAATATTGGAAAAATGGTAGGAAAAATACGTATTCTTCTGAAAAATATGATGTTTCAATTTGAAAATTTTTTTTTGACTCAACACTACCCCTGTTCAATAATCGGCGAGCACCTTACGCCAATTGGCAAATTCTTTCACCACGAACGGTAAGCATGCCACGTGTTTGCCATCGTTTTGATAAGATAAGAAGAAGAATATAAAATCTTAAAAGTAGTTGAATAATAATTTGGATAGCACCAGCAACATTTCTTCTACTTCTTTTTGTCTAAGTGATTTGGATCCACTATTTGTATAATACAAAAGAAGATTATTTTTTAAACTATCACACTAGAAAATTGTTACGATTCCCTATTACAAAAATAAATGAAAAAATATGTATCTATAGAAATACTGTTTGCAATATTCAAGTTTTTTAATTAATTAAAGAAATTATAACAACCTAACAATTTTTATTAAAAAACTCGGAACCAGCCGAGTGATGACGGTAAAAAGTTGTATTCATAAAATGCAATGAGGTTCTAAAGTATTATTAGATTTTTTTGTTATACTCTATAGATCAATGTAGATAAATTGTAACAAATTGGTTAATTTAGGTTAAGGAAATTTTAATGACTCTTACTAAAGTGTAATCTTAGCTAATCCGTATCTTGAAAGTGCTTATCAAAGTGTGTTCAAGATTAAGAAAGTTTAACAACAGGTTCTTAATTTGAATGATCCGTATAATTAAGTCTTTCTATAGTCATTGCTTTGAGTGAGCTATTTGATAATTTTGATTTCTTAACAGAAGACCCGCATATTTGTATTTTCAATATTTTCTGAAACATGCTCGGAAACTTTTCCATTACTTTCAAAAAACAAAACCCACAAAGGTTGTCATTAATTTATGGAGCTGCAATTCAGTAAGTAAGTAAGTAAGTGTACTTACTACATTATTTCAGAGGCCGGGAACTACGGGATTGCTGAACGAGTATGAGTTACTGTTGAGGTTCTATACCCATAACTCATAGATATATACTGGCCGCTTAGTTTTGTTTATAGCTGTTCGATGACAAGCATTGTTTTTCTATGTTGCTTTTCCAACGTCTAAATATGTGGTTGTTCAATTTCCGTTCTGTCGTATCTATCGTCTTCTTCGTCATTCCAAACATGGTAGCAGCGTTTTCGAACAAGAAGTGAAAAACGAGTAAGTAAAATGAGTAATAATATCGTAATACCAATTTTTGACGGAACGAATTACGCCAATTGGAAAATCCGACTATTGAAATTTCTTCAATTTAAGAAATGTAAGGAAGTAGTTATTAGAATAAAAAGGGAAAATGATGACGCTACTCAGTGGGATGAAGTAGATGTGCAAGCTACAAATTGTATATACAGCGCGATTACCAAGCAACAGTTGGAATATATCAGCGAGCTAGAGTCAGCATACAAAATTATTTTAAAATTTGACAAAATGTATTTAAAGCAATCTACAGCGTTCAAATTGTATGCAAAAATAATTTAGAAAGTATAGAGCTAACTAAATATTCGGATATTAATATTTTCTTCGATGAATTCGAACGGTGTGTCAACGATTTAAAAAAGGCCGGCGCCATGGTATCTGAAAGTGAAAAATTAAACTATATGTTAAAAGCGTTGCCCGGAAATTACAGTTACATTGGCGATTTAATAGATGTTTTGCCAGAAAAAGAAAGAGCTGTAGAATATTTAAAAAGTAAAATAAGAATGAAGAAAATCCAACAATAGAAGCTGTAACTTATTTCAGTTACAGCTTCTGACAACTGCAGTTACATCTTGTTAAGTAGTATACTTGGTGATGTTTTTATAACGTTCGATGCTCCTGTAAACATTTATGAAGATAATACAGGTGCTGTAGCTATTGCTAGGTATGGTAATTTCACGAAAAACTCGAAGCATATTGAAGTACATTATCATTATGTTCATGAGAATGTTAAGAATGGAACTAAATATAAATATAACTATAACTTGATTTCATATGCCATACTGGCAGTGTTCTTAATTTTATATTATTGATTACTGTTGCCGTTTAAGTCCAAGGAGGCGTATTGAGATTCTATACCCATAGATCATAGATTTATACTGGCCGCTTAGTTTTGTTTATAGCTGTACGATGACAAGCATTGTTTTTCTATGTTGTTTCTCCATCGTCTAAATATGTGGTTGTTCAATTTCTGATCCGGTGAATATATATTATTATAACTGATATCTATCGTCTTCTTCGCCATTCCAAACAATTACAACACTTGTCTAATTAAGCAATCCCCGTACATGACGAGGCACTTATAGTGCTTTTCTTAAACAATGCGAGGAAATAATAAAATAAATAAATAAATGGAAGACATTATACTTCAACAGTACAATGATGTAAGTATCGTTGGAGTGTTGTAGTGTCACTAGAGTGATAACGAAAATTAGTTCTCGTGAGGGTCACTAAAACTAATTTTCGCGACGGCGAACAAAAAAGACGAAAAAACAGAAAACAATGCCAAAGCACTTTAATTTATTTTACCGTCTTTTTTAAAGTAAGCGGTACAGGTAAGTATTATAATATAGGTATTAATTCTCGCGTTTACGAACACTGGGCATTTGGCAGTAAGGGGTTTTTTTTGCCTGTAGATTTATAAATTTTGGTATACATATCAGTAGTGCTCCCAAGGATAGAGCTGGGCGTTTAAACGAAAAGCACTTAAAAAGTCTGCTTTTTAAAATAAGCGCATAAGCACGCTTTTCATTTTAAGCGTAAGGGTTGGTCAGTGGTAAGTTCTCAAAGTACTCAACAATTTAATTTTTTACAACGTGCCTCAAATTCAATTAGCGTCATCTGTCTTTTCTAAACAAATTAATTCAATTCAATTCAACACAATTGTTATGTTAAATTGTAAAGTAAATTTTTAAGCGTGAAACTAAAAAGCGTTTGTGAAAAGCGCTTTTACAAGCACGCTTTTTAAACGTACGTTTTAACGTTAAAAAAATAAGCAGTTTTTTAAGAGTAACATAAAATCTTAGAATAATAACGCATAGAAACCTAGCCCGCACACGCTAAGTGAGGCAAATTGTAGCGCACCCAAAGGGCTTACACGAGCGGGCGGGCCTTCAGTGCTCAAGGTCAACTTGCACCGCGAACAGCTCCAGAATTTTAGCTAAAAATGACGAAATGTGTGGTAAATGAGTGTAAAAATACGTCAGACAAACATAAAATAGATACTAACATCACATTCCACAAGGAAGTAACGCCTTTCAACTTGTATTTTTGTACTATAAATATTCACTAAAACCGAAAATTAACCTACTACTAAAACTAGCCTTCATGAATTTGATTTTTGCCTCACTTATGACAGTTCGTTTGATATGAAACTATCATTATATGCGTTTATTATTCTAAGCATAAAATATTATACCATATGCTTTATACATTTATGTAATGAGTGTAGAG